ACTCAAACATGATTTTTCTAGCCTATATTGACTACGAAACCAAGCTTGATGAGCTCAGAATCTTGCGGAGGCAAAATTGTGGAGATTTATAGGCTTGCGACTATGAGGTATAAAGGGGATATTGGTTTGTGGTTTAAGTACCTTGAGTTTTGTAGACAGAAGAGGAATGGGAGAATGAAGAAGGTCAAGCTTTCGAATTGATCCTTGTGAATGAAAATTTTGTGAGGAAAACAATTTTTTATTTATTTGTTGGGTATGTTTCGATGTGTAGGTCTTGGCTCAAGTGATAAGATTTCATCCAAAAGAGGCTGGAGTGTGGATATATGCTGCAGCTTGGGATTTTGATCGAAATTTGAATGTTGCTGCTGCTCGTGCTCTTATGCAAAATGGCTTGAGAGTGTGTTCAAACTCTGAAGACTTGTGGGTGGAGTATCTCATAATGGAGCTCACTTACCTGAATAAGCTGAAAGTTCGTAGAGTTGCCTTTAATTGGTGAAGATAAAGGAAGCTTGGTTCGTGACAAGAAAGCCGTCGAGGATGAAAAATGGAAAGATGAAAACAATTAGATGAGAAAGAAGAAAATGACGACTCTATTGTTGAAGATGTTGAGGATGCGAGTGAGAAAGTTGATGTGTTTCGGGAAAAAGGGTTTAATGTTCTTCAGGCCATTTATGGTGGAGCTATTGAGGCTCTTCGATCTAGTTTTGACTTGAGGAAGCATTTTTTGGAGATCCTTGAGGCACCAGATTTGGCGCATTCAGATGAAATGCGCAATACGATTCTAAGTGATTTGAAGCGTGATTTTTCCAAGGACCCTGAATATTGGAAATGGCTTGCCAGACATGAAATGAGACAGGCGTAGAATTTGCGAATCCTAACCTGTAAAAGGCTATTCAGGTAAAACTCACCTTGGCTTATGTAAATGCTTATATAACTCAGGGTTAGATATTCATTAATTGCTCAAGTTTGTTAACAAAATTGGCAGAGCCATAGTTATCCTGCACTTCCTCCCTTAGAATTTTAGTACTGTCTTATCTTACTCTAGCACATTCTGTTTAGTTAGACAGTACAATATCTGATTATATTTTGAATCTTGTCTCCTGAATGCAGGTTTTTTAAGAGGGCTTACAAACTGTTAATTCAAGTTCGATGTATATAAAGTTTTTGATGGAGGCTATTGCATAGTGAAATGGCGACAATGATGAAAATTTCCATTCATTTAATCCAATTGAGGATTGTGTTTCGCATCTCAAAACTGTGTACCAAAAGGCTGATGGAGCCGGGTGTTTGACCGAGGAGCTTGCTAATGACTATGTTTCTCTGTACTTGAAACTGGGAAGGACCAATAAAGCTCAGAAGCTAGCAAAAAAACTTTACTCTGGAAAATTTGGGGGATCAGCTAAGTTCAAAGGTTTCAATTGAACTATGATCACTTTCAAGGAACTCCACTCCTAGTAAGGCAGATTTGCAGTCGGTCTTTGAGCTTCTTTCAAATGCTTAGAAGAAAGTACCGATCTCAGAATCTGAGAACCTGTATTCTTAAATACTACTTTCCCTCGAGTAACACATGCATGCCGCTTTATTCTTACTACTGTTACCTTAAATTTGTAGGTTATTGGCTCTTCCCTGTCTTGATCTTGTTCTATACAAAGATTGCATTGAAATAGAGACCAGCCTAGCATCACTACATGAGAAAGATTGTCTTAAAAATGTTGTACGAGTATGATGTTTCGACCTAGAGCCAAAACATGGAGTTGTGAAAAGATTACTAATCAATGGAGACGAAGGTAAAGTGGATTCTTGACACCATGGCTAATACCAAACTAGGACTTTTGTCAAATACCCTACTGACCATGTTTATTGCAGATGGGAACGTCAGAGACTGCCAATGGCGTGCGAGAAAGAGTCAGCAGATTTCATAGTTGGATCTGATTTGTTGTAGTTTGATGGAGGAACACACACAATATTTGTGGATTTTAGTTTTTTTTTGTTCCAACTGATCTGATTATATTGAAATACCGAGCATAATTTACAACCCTAATCTACACATGGAGATCCAACTGGTTAGAATTAACTATCATGACTAACACTTGCCATTCCAAAAACATCATCATCTAACCGGAAACAAT